TGGTTAATTGGAGATAATATCACAGACTTTTCTGCTTAGACTGATTTTGAACCACAATCCTCAGATCTCAGCCTACTGAGTAGCTAGATTATAGGTGTGAGTCATTGGCTCCCAGCCCAACTAGCTTCTTTATCAATTAATTTCTACTACTTCATGTATCTTTAAGAACTGTGACTTCTATCTCAGCCTGTGTGCAGGTGTGGGAGAGTGTGATTGGCTGCCTTACTCACAGGTTTGTTACATCTTGCCAGGTAGACACAGATGGTGAGGGCACAGGAAGCAATGTAGGCTGCACCCTGCAAAGGATGACTTTTGGTAGCTCTCTTCCTGGGCTTAGGAGCTCATCTGGTTAGAGTGTCAAAAACGGATCCTGTAATGGCCAGAGCTGGTACCTCATGCCAGGAAGGACTGTATCAGCCTCTGGGTTATCCAGCACCATCTAGCCAGGCTATGGCCTTCAGTGGTAACTGCAGCTGAGTAGAGGAACTCTGAATATTCTGTTTGAGTTGTAACTTTAAAATGTCTTAAAGGGCTGGGCAGGCAGTTCAGTGGTAGAGCGCTTGCCTTGCATGCTTGAGGCTCTGGATTCGATTCCTCAGCACCACATAAGCAGAAAAAAATAAGCCAGAAGTGGCGCTGTGGCTGAAGTGGTAGAGTGCTAGCCTTGAGCTGAAGAGCTGAGGGACAGCGCCCAGGCCCAGAGTTCAGGTCCCATGACCGGACCCCCAAAAATGTCTTAAAAATGTATTTTTGAAAAGGGAATTGTGGATGATTTGGAATATGGGCTGGAGTCCATATAAACAACTCATGTGGAGAGTCTGTAGCCCAAGAGACAGCAGTGAGTAGCAAAGAAGAAAGCCAAGGGAAGTGCCTGCAAAGTGCTGTGAGCATTTTGAGCCTAGATGGAAAATTCTGATAAAAGAGAGCTTGGGAAAATTGCTGAGCCTTAAACCACTTCACCTGCATCAGCTCTTAAGATCAGAGATTTACATTTTGGGAATCCAATTTCCTTTATTTTCTTCTGTCATAAGTTCTTTTCAAACATGCTGATTGGTGTCGCTGATGAATTTGGAGAAAACTAGGGTAGAAAATTTGCTTCACACATGGACTGGTCTTGATAAAAAAAAAAAGTCAAGGGCACATCCCTGGAACCTAGGATGAATGGAAGCTTGGAGTGAGAAAATTCTCAGATCTGTATACTATGTGTTAAACCTTTTTATAACATAAGAGTCTTGCAGACTCTCCTGCTTGGGCTGGTGTGGAACTGCAATCCTTATTTCCCAGTCCCTCCTGAGTTGCTAGGATTTCAGGTGTAATCCACTGGTGCCTGGCAACCCGAAGCATACTCTTTTGTGTTTATTTTGTACAAATTCTGTAGTTTTCCTTCTTCTTTATGAGAAAGTATAGATTATTACTCTTTTCTATATTTTACAAAGAATGCTATCACCACTGAAGAATATGAGCAATGACAGATGTGGAGAGTCTTCTTACCTAGACCTGAAAGTATAAGCTTCCTTTCTTATCTATCCTTTGAAGAATTCTGGAATATGTGGATAGGTGGCTAGATGTGTTTATTTTTCATAGGATAACTGATAAGACTAGCATTCTGTAGTTCCAAAAAGCAAACACTTCCCTGATGTTAAGAGATGACTGACATCCTAGACACATTACTGCCTTACCAGCGACATTTATGATTAACTAGGTACACCTAGACGTTGCTCATGTGCCCTTTGGACAACTGGTATCCATGCTCTCATGGAATATTCAACCAGGGAGGGTAACTGTCCTTCCTGCATAACCCATATGTCAAAAAGAAAGGATTTGATTGGTTTCCTTCCTCACTGCCAGTTGATATAGCATACCTCTCTTGAGCTGATCTGAAATGAGCTGACATATGTTTGATGATAATGGTGATGATGCTAAAATTTCCCCTTTTATCTCAATTTTCTTCACTTTCCTCTCTGCCTTCACCCTTTGTTCCGCTCCACTCCTAGGACATTTATCCAGAGGAAATTTAGTCTCTTCTTGAGATAGTTCTTTTGAACCCCTTCCCAGCTCAATTTGTGCTTCTAAGCTTTTCATGTTTTTTTTCTTCCAATCTGACAGATAGTTTTAATTTCCAGCAGAAACCATCACCTTCATTAGGACAAAGTGGATGGCCAAGCAAATATGACTGAGATGGATGGTGCAATTGGCGCCAACCCTTCCCTCACCCTGTTAGCCACCAGAAAAAGAAGTTTCTCTGATTCCAGCTAGCTCCCCAGTTCCCTGCCTGTTCTTACCCCAAAGGACCAGGAACTGGTACTAGCCTCATGGTACCCACCATTTCTCTCTAAGCTATAGTTAGCTGCTTAAAGGCTTTGGGAGGGGAATAATCTGTTATCATAGTTGCATTAACCAGTTTTTGTTACCACAATAAAATACTTGAGGCAGTTAATTTCATAAAGAAAAGAGATGTATTTAGCTTACAGTTCTGGAGTGTCAAGAGTATAGTGCCTGCATTAGTTCAGTTCTGGTGTGTGTTTCACTGTGGATAGTAGTGAATGGGAGCAGGTTGTTACATCCCAAGTCAGGGGCTGAAAGAGAGGAAATGGCCAGGTGTGCTCCTTTTATAACAACTCTCTTTAAAAAATTAGTAACATTATTATAAAGGCGATGTACAGAGGGGTTACAGTTACACAAGTCAGGTGAAGAGTTCATTTCTTTTTGGAAAATGTCACTCTTCTCTCATTCTCTCCCAAGTAAAACAACCCTTTTGTGAGAACTAACAAGGGGACTCATGAGAAATTTCTTCTGACAGCAAACTTTCAATGGCTCAAAGACTCCCAATAGAACTTAACTCTTAGAGGTCCCATCTCTTCCCAGTATTTCCTTCCTGGGGATTCTGTCTCCAATCAAATGACTCTTGAGGATGATACAAATAAAATTATATCTAAGCCATAGCTCCAGTCATTCCTTCAAATAGATTCCAATATGGCTTGACAGACTTAGGACTCAGTGTGTGTGAATGAGTCATATGTGTGTGAATGTACATGTGAATAAATGTTCTGGTGTGTGTGTGTGTGTGTGTGTGTGTGTGTTGGAGATGGAGGCATGCTTTTTGCCATGAATAAGCTTCATAGTTTCTGCTCATATCATAATCACAAGAAAGGCATATTCACCTAGAAAGAGACCCTGAAGCAATGGCTCGCGGACATATGTCTCCAGAGTGATGCATTTGGGTGTGTTTGTGTGAATGGAGTGGGTATCCAAGTAGATTACTCAAGTGTTCTCTGGTTCTCCAGGTTATATTCAGATGCTAAAAATTTACAAGTGTATTTGTTACGCTGCTGGTCCGGTGAGGATGGAAGTAGTCTCAGTTTTTCACCTTCTTACAGCAATAAACTAATAAGGGTCACCTTCAAGTTTCAGTGAAGGCTGTTCTATCATTCAAGACCACTTTCTACACAAGGTGCACGCAAGTGTTTGCATGTGTGCATGTGCAAACGTATGAGTCTACGCAGGGCAAGTTTTCTTCTTATTCAGTTGGGAACCAGAGCTTGGTAGCTGATGGGTGCTTTGAGAGGATGAAATTCCTGCGGTCTCCTTCCTTGGCCAATGGCCCATCCTAGGGTGTTAGGTGTGTGGCCCTCACCATTGCTTTCACTGCTTGAAAGAACAAAATCTTCACTACAGCCTCGAAATAGAGGCGATTGTAGATGTTTCCATGACACTCATTTATTCCTTTTGCAAATACAAATGTATTGGGGGAAGGGATGAGAAAAGACTAGGGGCAGGAGACCCGGCAATAGGAAGTCCTCCCAATTTTCTTATCCATGTTTCTCTGCAGGAATAGAAAACCCCTCGTCCCCTTTCACGGGGTCTTTTCCATCCCAAGCTGCTCCCCAAATCCATCTTGACTTCATGCTTTTGAGATGGGACTCCCTGTAAGGCAGAGAGTGGAGGAATCACATGTAGGAGGAAGCAGTACTAATTTAGGGTAAGGGAAATTTAACCTCCCCCCCACAAAACTTTTATCCCCACAAGTTGGGGTTTAGTAATGATAAGCGGTGATGAGCAGTGATGACCGACACTGGGGGTGGCAGTGTGTGTGCACGCGTGTGTTCCGGAGAGGTCTGTGACACACTGCAGCTGAGCCAATGACTCATCCTAAATCTTAGTGACTTTTAGAGGTCATTTTAGTCATTCCTGGGTCTTCAGGCTGGCTGGAACTTAACTTAATATCACGTTTGGTGGAGGTGGTGTGTTGCTTTGGAGGAAGAGTGTCTGTGTGAGCAAGGGACTGGGGGTGGGGGAGGCTGTGCGTGACCTCTTTGAAAAGATCTCCAGCAAAGGACGTTCCCTACCTTTCCCAGGCTGCACGCTCGTGGGTTTCCCCCATCACACTGAATCAGCATGGTTCTCCCGGGAACTGCTTTTTTGCTGGATGGAAACCGGATGTTGGATTCCCTGAGTGGGCGGGGGCTCCATCCCTTCAGATCTGTCAGGGGTAATTGAGACTCCTAGGGACCCATCAGTCAGTCGGAGAATCTACCATTTATTTCACCAGAAACTTGCCATAAAGCCTAAGCAGAGAATAGAACAGAGCAAAGACGCTACAACGCCTTCTCCCAGGCAATGCGCATGATTCTGCGGCTCTGTTCTCACCGCACTTCAACGCACCTTGAAATGGGCTCGCCTCCTTCGCGCCCACGACGGGCAGAGAGTTGAGCCAATCAGTCTTCAGACTGGTGGGAGGCGTCCAATAGGCAAACTGAGGGGGAGGGCTTAGAGGTCCGGCCCGGCTAGGCTTCACCGTGGACCTGGCTGCGTTCTGCCGAGGCTAGTAGTGCAGGTGCCGCTGCGCCGGGGCCGGGGAGGCTGCGCGCGGAGCCAAGCGGAGCCAGGGAGGGATGGAGAGCGGGCCGCCCGGGCTGCAGGAGCACCGGCAAGGGGCGTAGGCGGGCGAGAGGCGGGCGCTCGGGCACGAGAAGTGTGCGGGTGCAGGAGCACTTTGCGATAGGATGAGGCACTTGGCTGGCGCGCGGTAGTACTATGATTTGGTATGTGGCCACTTTGATAGCAAGTGTGATCAGCACCCGAGGTCTTGCGGCTCAAGGTGAGTTGAAGTGCAGCGTCCCTCCTCTGCCCCTCCTGGCCGGCTCTGTCAGCTCGTGGCTCCGGGGCTCCGGATCTCTGGCCACTCCCCCCTCCCCCCGGCTCGGTGCCGCTCCTTCCCGCTGGCGAGGCTCGGGCTCGGGCCAGGCGCGCCTCCCGGCACTGACCAGAGAGGGCCCGAGGGCTGATGGCCGGAGGAGCGGAGCCCGGCGGGAAAAGGCCGGTGCCCATGGGTCTGGCTGCCTGGCGCTCGCTTTGGAATCGAGGTCGACTTGGTCCACTTTGGGCCCCGTGGTTCTGCTGACACCGGGTGGTGGTGGTGGCGGGGGTGGGGGTGGGGGGGGAGTCGTGCTTCTCCCTAACTCTGGCTGCCAGGGAGTTTGCGGGTCTTCGGGCAGGCTGCAGCACGTTCCAGCGCCGCGCACCGCTCCGCGGTGGAGCCCTCCCCGGGAGGTGCGACCCGAGCCTTGGGACCTTCCGCGCCCACCTCCTCGGCACAGGGTTCTATTGGCCCCGCAGGTGCCCCTCCTGCCTCCCGTCTCGGCAGCTGGAGGCCGGGTCCCCCTCGCAGGTGAGAGAATTAAGAAAGCCGGTTTCGAGGAGTGTCATCTTTGGTCAGCCCGCGCCCGTTTTAGCCGCACCTGGGTCCCCGGGCCTGGCAAAAGTTCCCGGGGAGCGGGCCGCGGGCTGGCCACGCGCCGCCCTCCCCCGCGGCCAGGCAGAGCTGCCCGGGGGCGAGGGCAGCGGGGGAGGGGTCCCCGCGGTTGGAGTCTCGGAGCCGAGGGGGGATTTTTCTTCTTCTTTCTCTTTCCGATTTCTCCTGATTGAGCTCGAGAAGAGCAAGAGGGAAGCCGCGCGTCGGGGGATGCGTGCGTGAGCGCGCGGGCTTTTGCTTTGGAGACGGGCAGAGCGACTTGCAAGCCTCTGGGTGGCACCCGGGCTCTGGCTCTCCGCGGAGCCTGGAGGCTGCCAGGACTCTGAGCTCATGGTTCTCAGAGCGCAGACACGACCCGGCTGTGGGCAAGTTCACCGAGCCGGGAGGAGATGGCGGCGGGAGAGAGAACCAGCTCGGGGATGGGGGGGGGGGGGGCGAAGGATTGCGGAGGCGGGGGGAGGGGGGAAGCGCGACTCGCCAAGCAGAGCCTCTACTCCTAGCGAGCACCGTGGAGAGGATCTTATCATCACCTGGGCGGGAGGTTCGGTGGGGAGGGGGGGAGTGGTTTGAGAAAGTTTCAGGAATGGAAAATGTCTCCTATGCTCGTTGGGAGGGGGCGACTGAAAACAAGCGCAGAGGGAAAGGGAAAGGGTGGTTTTGCCAAGTGATGTGTTGGGCTGGATGGTTTAAAAACTCTTCCTTTGTCAGGTGGGGAGACAGGCTGGAGTGGCCGCAGAAGCTTGTGGAGGGGGGGGGGGGGTGGAGACGCGGACCAGCTGGCCTCATCCTCATCCTCTCCCCAGTCTCCTCGCCGTCTTGCAAAGCCCGCATCCTCCTCCCCTCCAGGTTTTGGTATGTTCCTGCTATGGGACTGTCACTGAAAGCACAAAGGATGTGCTGGGATCTTTGAATAGAAGAGACATTGAAGGAAGGTTCTGAAATAGAGTCCAAAACCTAAGCAAGGGTGTGGGGTTTGGCCTGTTTTATTTATTTATTTATTTTTGCAAGTTTAAGCACAGCATAAAGGAAAACGGGTTTATAGTGCAGCAACACACGGAATGGCAGGGCAGAAGGAACTTCCCAGCATTGAAGGTTGTTGGGCATGAAGGTGATGTATACCTTCTTCCATAGTGCAGCAAGGTCTTTCCACTCGGAATGGCTAGACGTGCTCTCTTGTCTGAGAGCAGGGGTGACCTTCTTGGTCTTGGGATATGATGTTGGTCTAGGACCTAGATTTAAAATGGCTTGCATTCAAATCCCAATTCTATCACTTGCTAACCCTGTGACCTTGGACAAATTTGCTTAACCTTTCTTGATGTTACTTGCTTCAATGGAAATAAGTTATGAGTATAAGCTTATAGAGGTATTTTTCCCCCTGGGGGTAATAGTGCTATAAATAAAAGAGTAGCTGCCACTCACATAGTATATACTCATGAAATATTGATGTGGTTATTATTTCAGAATTTTTGGGTTCCTGGCTCCCCTCTATTTCCTTTCCCTTGGGTCATTCAGGGCATCAGGAGCTGGGTATGTGCTAGGAGGAAGTTCAGAAGGTTGTCTCTGTCAGGAAATGAGACTCCTTCATAGACTGACCTTGTCTGGGCAGAGCCTCTCATCCTCCTACATCCAGTGATGTGTCTAGGGTATGTGTGCTTCAAAGCTGCTTGAAAGCCCTTTGCAATGTGTTCAAAGCTAAATCCTTGTCAGTGTCTAGAACTTGTGGGAGGGTACAGAACTCAGCCTCTGGCAGGGAAAGGCTACTTGCTGTGTGTGGAGCTGGTATTGGGAACTTGCAAAGCCTAACTTTTCTCTGAGTGGCACAGATAACTTGTGGGGAGACCCCTGAGAAGGAGAGACTTTGAGAGGCACCCTTAGGATTCACTGAAGTAGAGGAGTGAGAGGGGGAAGCTCCCTCAGGCCACAGTGAGTTGGGACTCTGTCAACCTACCTGTGTGAGGTATAGGTAGAGATGGACTGACTCTTCCTTTGACTCAGATCATGTGTCTGGGAGAGGACTAAAGTCAGTAGTCAGGTGGAAAGCATGAGAAGTCAGTCTATTGGTGTCATCTCAGCATCCCAGATGTTTGCCTAGTACGCTGAGGGGTTTCCACATTGTGGGAAGACCCTGGGCTAGACATTGAGTCTGAACATCTCATTGCAGAGTCTTATCCCCAAGGCTGTTTTCCCTCTTGACCACAGATTCTGAATCATCCCTGGTACTAGTGCCCCCAAATAAAGTGGAGTTGTGACTCAAGTCCTGCAGGTGGTTAGATTAGTCCCCTCTACTCTGGCCTTGACCCACCCCTCTCCCATTTGGGAAGGGGGTTTCACCCCATGTCCAGGAAGAATTGAGCAATGGCAGTGATTAGCGGGTAAGTACATGGCTGTGTGTCCCAGCACACACACGATGGTGGTGGGGGTGTGTCTGGCAACAGATACCCTGGGAGAAGCTGAGGAGGTTGTCACATAGGGCATGGCTGAGTCACAGTGGGAAGGATCAGCTTTCAGCTTCTGGCCAATGGCCTGACACATGCCAGTGTCTGGAGATATCATGTCTCAAGTCGTAAGTGGTTTCATGTTTATGGTTCTGACACAGAAAACTAATATCTGGTTACCTGAAGAGCAGGGTCTGTCTCACTGAGCTGCTGAAACCCAGCATCTCTCTGTCCCTCCCTCCTATGCCTCATTCTCTCTTGGTGCCTTCCTTTACTTCTCTGCCCTCTCCCCAGTCAGGCGCCAGCTAGCTTTCAGAGCCTAGCCTGCTTGCTCTATGCTTTCTTCTTTGGCTCTCTCTCAGCTCTGCTCAGTGCTCAACTGTCTATACACAGCTTTCCTGTTTGCTGCACTGAAGATGTGGGGGTGGGAGATGAGCCCCATTGAGGGCTGAGATTTAACCAGTTCTCTATAAGAGCCCCTCCTCCATATCTGGTGACCTCAGCTGGGATGCAAGGTCTCCAGATAGCAGTACCCCCTCCCTCTGGTTCCTAGGATAGATTGTACAGCTTGTGTGAAGAGTAGATCTGAATGATGAAAGAGCTGTGATTGGTGAGAACTTTCTGCTGTCTGGAGGTGATAGGTGTATGTGCACTTTCACATGCATGGGTACGCTTGTGTGTGTATGTGTGTGCTCCTACAGGTAGGTGCACATCTACTCATGTGAAATGGTATATACACATATACATACACATGTGTACACACATGTACAGGCACACGTACTTATATTTTGTATATACTGTGTGCATGTCCATGTGATCTGCATGTATTTTGCCCTATACATGCCCTATACATGCAAGAGTGGATGCCTGTATGTTTGTAAGTATATGCATGGACTGCAGCAGGACAGGGCCAGTTAGGTACAGGCCTGAGGTTAGAGCAACTCCTCTCTGAGTGACTACACCCAGCAGACTCCTTGTCCCTTTGTTTGGAACCTTCATCAAAGCAGCACAGAAGTCTCCAAAGTTGAAGGCTCTAGCCCAGAGGCTGGATTGAAGGATGCCTGAGGTTCTGGAGAGAAAGCTTAGGCAGTAGGAAAGTCTGAGCTTGTGGAGAAGCTGACACTGGGCTATCAATTGCTAAGAGGGATGGGTAGCATCAGTTGACATCAACTGTATCCACTCCAGAATAGAGAAGGAGGGGGAGGGGAGAGGAGACAGAATTATCATCAGTACCCTGCCCCAGGGGCACTGCTCAGGGGCACTGGTGTGGGCCAGTCTGCCGGAGGCAGTTGACCTATTTTTCTTAGGAATCTTCCTGCTTTTCTGTTCTCTCTTGCGTGAATAAGCAGGAAAGTGGAGAGCAGAGATGGGGCCTCTGTGAGGGGTTTGGAGAAAGATTCCACAGGACCAGGGATATGAAGGAAGCTTGATTGCTCTTCTGACAAGAGAGACATTGACAACCCTGCCTTCTGCCCGCCTTCTCCCATTTGTAGTCACCCTTACCTTCCTCCTGGTCACGTGTGTCTACCAGGATGGGGGAGTGAGTGGTATACAACTTGCACACAGGCACACATTGTAACGAGGTGAGTCACTGTCCTCATTCTTGTTGGAGTAGGGAGTGTTGACGGTTTACTGGGAGTAAATATGGAACTTTGATCTCCCACTTAGTTATGGTGGCAATCTGGTCTCTTATCCTCATGGCATGCTCAGCCTCAGTGCCTGTCCCTCTGCCTTCCTGCCAGCCAGCTTTGGGACACGGGATCTGATTGCAGGGGCTTTAGGGGTGTGTGGCTTTGCTTTTCTGCTGAGGAGCCATTAAAGGAACAGAACTGAGATTGAATTACCGACTTCCTTCCTGTCAGGGGCTCCTGGGGAAAGAGCTCTTGGAAATGCTGTGTAGCCAAGCAAATG